GGGCTTAGTGCCTACACTTTAGTGCCGATTACCGAACCGGCACTAAAGGGCCTCACGAACCGGTGCTATTGCCCGGTTCTGCACTAGTGCAAGTCCTTGGATGACATCCATCACAAAGTCATTTTCGTGAGTTCTTTGTGCATCGGGCTACTCTGCCTTCCTGCTAGAGGTGGACTTCATCTCCACTGTGTGTGCCAGCGACTATAATTGTAGCTTGATCACCTTTTCACCAACAATCTTCTTAATCTTCACAAACTGAGACATCATACAATAACAACGTATGTTGTCAACAATTATAAAAATAATAATTTACTAAGTAAAGAAAATAAATTATGGATAACAATATAAACATAGTTTGATGACTAAACATTTGTTGAATTGTCCATGACCATGCCATCTCCATCTGAACAAGTGTACATTAAAATTCATCTATTCTATATATTTTATCATCTTTGCTTAACTACTTTTTTACATATTTGAAATAAATTTAAAATTTTAAAAACATTTCGGAAATTAGATAATGTTAATATTCCAAAACTTTCAAATAATTGAACAAATTTTAATAGGTATATTCCAAAATTTACTGAAACTGATAAAGATATAATAAATAATCTTCCTGGTGTATATGAATTATACACAAAGTAGACATCAAAAGAATATTTAAAAATATGTTAATTGTATTATTGAAAAATGCTAAACATGCATGAAAAAAATTTCTCCGATGTATATGAATATTGTACATTTTGTGTGAAAAAATAGAAATGTGTTGAATAAAAAATTTAAAAACCATGGAAACCGGAAACAAAGAAACCTAAGAAAATCAGGAAATAAACATAGAACACGAAATAAAAAGGAAAGCAAATGCTGCAGAATAGGAAAACAGAAAACCCGATGCTGCAGTAAAGGGCCTTCCCAGTAGAGCGCTCGCCAAGGTGAGATGGCACTCCGCCTCGCAGTGGGCGAAACACCATCATGGCAGGAGCCAGGTGAGACGCGCCATGGCAAGATATAATTCAGTGATCAACCTGTGTTGGACAACAGTGCAATGAAAACTGTCGGAAGAACAGTTTACTGAAACTGCTGTATTCTGCAACTGTTGTAGTATTCTGCAACTGCTGTGCTGCTAATCATCAGAAAGTTGTCTGGACTGTTATATTTATTAGATATATAAGTACATAAAAGTAGTTGAATGGAAATAGCTGGTATTTGCATTATTTGTACATACAGACGATGCTAGAAGGTGGTCTGAAGCTAATTAATTGGTTGCTGGGGAGAAAATCACAACGTAAGTCATAAGTTCTCTTACCTTTCTCTACTTTGGCACTTAATTGGAAACCCAAATCAGTCGAGTTTCTGTTTGGTTAGCACATACTGAACTGCGTTGAATAGCCTGATGTGATCCAAAATTCAGGTGGTATCCTACAGTAATTCAGTTTTGTGTTGTACGTACATAGCTTGTCTTGTTCGTTAATTCTGCAAAATAGTTCTCCAACGGTTGCTTAGCGTCAATGATAGGAGCACCTCGGACACAATGAGATGGGAATTCAGAACTACAATTCGCATTGAGATATATACAAAGGTGTAGGAAAACCCCAGCATTTCTTGTGATTCTGCTAGCTGAAAGCTTTTGCCCTCGCGGTTCTAAACTTGGGAACCAGTATCAAGGTTGGCAGGTGCATTTCTCTTAGATGTCAAGAGTGATGCGGTGGTTCTTGCCGTTCATTCTCCGGTTCAATCCCTCATCAGAAAATGATTTTGTCTTCTGACTGAGATGGAGTTCTCAACGTGCACCCGGGCACCAAATCTCGCTGCAATTAGCGGCACGCATACGTTGTTTCTGATTTCAGTAAAACCTAAAACGTGAACAAAATTCAGGTTTTATCTGGCAGAACTGCAAGAATACCATTCTACTCGCCTGAACATACAGATTGAATGAATGATACTAACATTCTTTGTTCTGAAACACCCATCCAACCATACATTACATGGAAAAGTAGCATAACAATTAAAACATGACGTTTATTCTTTTTCTAACAAGGAAAAAGAAAGTGGTCGATAGCATATTTGTTGTAAACACTCAAGCAACCATGGATATATAGAGAAGTAGCATAACCATTAGTACTAAACTTGGATGACATATATGATAATAATAATAGTGTAGGCGTTACTTTCACATTTTCATGACAACCTCCTTTGCGACGCTCCATTCAGCGGGGAGGATTCTAGCTATGAGCTCCTTGAGAACAGACGGGCAGCTAGATGTGAGATGCTCATAACCGTCGCTTGCCATCATAGCTTTGAAATTGGAAGGAGAATCAAGGAACTGTAGACAAGCCTCCTTGAGACGAGGGAAGCCATGCTGCTCCGCCAGAGCCAAACTGGTGGCCACCATGTTGGAATCGATGTGAGCGCACAATTTCTCCTCGCATATCTGCTTCAGCCTCACAACATTGTACCTGTCAGCCGCCACTAGAAGGTGGCCAGCCATCGCCACATCAAGCTTCGGAGGGACCGAATCGGTGTACATGAAATGGAGCAAGGACTTGAACACATGAGCTTCCATGTCACAGATTTCAATAGGGCTGGCAGCAGAACAACTCTCCTTCATGGCGCCGAGGAGCTTCGCTTTGAAGACGGATGACCGAGCAGCGAGGACGCACCTGTGAGCGGAGAAACTCTGCCCGCCAACTTGGAAAGTCAGGTCTGCTGCGTCCTTGTTCTTTAGGAGGTCGCCGAGATGCCGGTCGAGGTCGCTTGGAGGAACCCTTGCTTCTTCGCCGTGGATCTCCTTCATGACGGTGACATCGCACCTGATGCTGAGACAATTGTCCCTCAGATGCGACGATACGTCCAGATCATCCCTCTTGATGTAGTCATGCCAACCCCTGCCTGAACCTTTACTTGAGAAGGTATACTTGCTGGTACGTCTGTATGAAGGCACCGGTTCTCCATTCTTGTCAAGTACTCCCTCCGTTCCGAATTACTTGTATTGGATTTGTGTAGATACGGATGCATCTAGACTCATTTTAGTGCTAGATACATCCGTATCTAGATAAATCTAAGACAAATAATTCGGAACGGAGGGAGTACTCTGAATGTGAATTTTGCCTTCACATCTTCGGCATCGGCAGATTCAAGCCGGAGTTAAAGAGATATAAAATCGTCATAGTCCTCACGCTCACCGTTTGGGTAATATCTCACGACCCAGCTGTGGCCGCCAACACCGAAAGGGGTAGAAGTGACACACTGGCCGTTCTTGAGAAGCGCCTTAGCTCTTGAATATCCATTACCTTGACCACATATGACCGCTCATATGACCTTTCCTCGGATGCAGACACCATGGAAGCAGAAGTCTTGCATTGCTCTGCCATTCTGGAGATCGGCTTGGTGGAGTAGGATGGAAGGCTAGTGAGAGGAAATATTTTGTTGCATCTAGCTATATATATATATATATATATATATATATAGGACAAATGTTTCCTACAAGCAGTGGTAGTTACCACCACTTGCGTTTTGTATGTTGTATGTAGTATCTGTCGAAACCGAAAATATGTACGTGTAGTATGTAGTATATAATAATAATTAGATAGTATATATACAAATTTTTAGGTAGTATGTACCATTTTTTGAGTATGCTCTTTTTTACGTACAAATATGTACGTATTTCATAAATATAACAAAAACTATAGGCACATGTGCAATTTTTTCATGTAACTTGTTTTGAAATATCTTAGATATAGTATATGAACATATTTAAAACAATAAAATAGCATATATAGTACCACATGCTAGTATATGAGACATGTGGGGTAACTACCACCGGGTGGTAGGATGGATTTTCCCTATATATATATATAT